GAAAACAATAGACTTAAGGTACTGCATTCATACACAACACTACAGAGCAAAACGCATTTAGAAAGATAAACTGACACAACAACTTAGTACCCCGTACAAAAGTACACCGACTGCCAAACTTGGCGACAATTAAAAGAAACTCAATAAAAGTGAAAACTTAGTATGATTGACAAGAAAAGATGTGAATGAAGGAGAACAACAGAGGTAAACAGAGATAACTGTAGATTTTCAAAAAGATGGAAAGTATGTAAAAATGTGCCAATGAAGTTGATTTTGATTCACATAAACTACGGTCTTTAGTCCTTGACTTTACTATCTTGTGGACGCTATCACACAGACTACATTTCAACTGTATGAATTTCACCAACAATCGATCACTTGTTAGATTGGTGTTTTCCTAATCTACCAAAGTATTCCCGTATGTGGTACATTTAAGCACTACAAGTAACGTTAGTCGGCGTGTTAACTGACGCTCCTTCATAAGAGATAAAAACTTCACTACCGACCAACTTTATGGAAAAACTTACAAAAGTAAACCGGTGTAGGCAGTTATTACCTATGGTTCAACAAACTACGTCTAAAGATCGTATCTCAAAAGGTTAAATAGGCCTTCTCACCACAGACGGTTTCTATGTTGAATCAAGTTTCAGTTGAGTATATTTACTATAACGCCGTAAAGCATAGCGTCATTACAAACAATAGTATGGGTTTAAAAGACGTTATTTTCCATGAAACGTGCATAAGTAGATAAACTTTTATTATGCGACTTGGAAATAGAAATGCTAAAAATTCTGAGGAACATCAGGTCCTTCAACACACTACAGTTGCTTTTCAATTGCTCGTCTACTCTATGATGATACTGTACATCTGTAATAATAACCGACTCCAAAATGTCATCCTAACCGTACAATGAGCGCATACGTGAAGACACAAATGACTTAAGCTATATTATTATTATTGCATTAAGCAACAGAGTGAATGATTAGCAAAGTGGCCAAATATTCAAGCTAAGATCAAACAAGGATACCATACTTATAACTAGAGTTGATAGGGGGAGATCATAATCATTTTAAACATGATCATTTAAGAAAACTGAGCGATAGAAAGTAACTCTATTATTAAAAAAAAACAACTAAACATTAGTACAACGAAATCCCTACACTAACTGAATTAGATATCTTTGCAACATAATCATGCAGTTACAACCAAATATCGACGTGAAGTGAAAAATAAAAATCTAACAAAATGCATAACCCACATCCTAAAGGTATATTAAAGCAATAATGGAATACTCATTCTATAAATCAAAAGCTTTCCCCGATCGAAATCACATCAAGTAATCACTAACAATAAATAATGAAAACTAATACGGTTTCAATAACGCTAACTTAAGCAAAAGGTATCAACTAAGACTAACTGAAGTGGTAATAACTATAGAGTTATGTTTTAATATCGCTTCGTGCATATATATCAGACAATTGAGATCGACAAATGGTTTAAAATATAACATAAACTCCGGTATAATTATATATGATGAAAAAATATTTAGCTTATGACCTTCATTGGACGCAAATACACAAATACACAATGTTCCAAGCCACTGAATATTGAAAAATATAACGTAATACAGCGGAGAAAATTTCCTTTTCGACAAATCATTCATTTCCAAAAGCTGCTGTACAGTCCCATTTATAGTAATAACAAACAAACACATCAGTCTATTATTTGCCAATAAGTCACGTTAAGTCTTAAAGAACGGAATGTTCTAGGGTAGGACGGTGGGTTGAATGTAGACTTAGAGAGGGATTGCGTAATCAGGTGCTCGTAAGGAGAATATGCAATAGTAGGTCAAAGTGATGACTATTAGTTATGACTATTAGTAAATGAACAGAACAGGTCGAAATTAACAATACCAGCTACAATCAATAATATGAGTAAAGTATTGTGAGAATTTTAATGGTAGATTGGAGCTAACATGCTAAGATGTGAGAGAGTAAGCTGCAGAGTAAAACCAAACAGTCAGTTATTACTTTGTGGTGTGCTTAAAATTTGGGCTGCCAAAACTTTCCCACCATACATTACATCATATTACTTTTTTGTACTTGTTTTGATTATTCAGCTGTCAACTTATCATAAAATGTACTCTCGCACAGTCTCCAACCTATCGTCACATAAGTTAACAACAGAAGTGAAAAAAGATATCACAGCAGATGGCAATGGGGTCCTTCAGTTCATAACAGTTGATCACACAGGTATTACGGGGAAGGTTAACGGGAACTGCAAATATTTACGCTAGCTGAATAGTCGCTCCGCCCACCAAACCCATTGGTGCTGTTTTATTCGTGTCCCCGTGCACAACATACCCACAAACTATACGATAGCCAAAATGCGATTGGTTGTTGTGTAGTGTATTATTGCTTATCATACTGCTATTACTAAGAATATTTAACTGTGATGGCTGTTTAATTTGGAAATACTGTACAAGGTGTAAATTTTTAAGCATCACAGAGAGAATTCCATGCTGTATTAAAAACTATTGCCTGGAATAAAGTGATTATTGTTGTTGAAAGTTGAATATATTGAAGCAGTAAATAAACTGAAGAGAGGATTATGACGACTGATATATAAGGGAATGGATGTACCTCTTCTGTACACAGAGCTCAGGGTTTAATTGCTGGATGGTTAACGCCTCTGATATCCATAAGTGACGAATCCATATACCTTTCGAGCTATTTGGCTTGACTTTGTATGGGGTTTTGAAAGAAGACTGTGGGGAATCGACATGACCAGAGCAAGCAATAGATGCATTTTGGATCATCATCACCACTTTAGCCTACTGCATATTCTTGTTACACACACCTGACTATGCAATCGCTTTCTAACTCTACATTCAACCCACCGTTCTACCCTAGAACATTCCGTTCTTTAAGACTTAACGTTGACTTATTGGCAAATAATAGACTGATGTGTTTGTTTGTTATTACTATAAATGGGACTGTACAGCAGCTTTTGGAAATGAATGATTTGTCGAAAAGGAAATTTTCTTCCCCGAATTAATTTGTGTTCGAATGTCGCGATGGGAATTTACTCTGATCCAAAAGGAAGCAAGGATCCTGTGATAGTAAAGGGACTTAATGGGTTACTACAGTTTTCTGTCAAACTTGCCACTGAGTATCATTATGGAATATAGAGACGACAGATTTGTGTATGTATACTATTTGAATTTCGCTTACTGATACATCCGATAGCATTACTTTTGCATACAGAGACGAAATCAAACTAATACTGGTTGATATCTACTTGTCACATATTTAATTGCATCAGTGAATTCACAACAAAGTGACTCGGGATTAGGGCGGAGTGGTATAAGCTGTCACATCTGTCATCAACACAGAGAGGTATAATCAGGCAACAAGATGAAAGATGTAAAGAAATACGAAGAGGGCAACTAGAAGTAAAAGAAAGTCGTTAAAAGAGAGGAGGAAGGGATATAATAGTTGCAAAAATTCGACATGATAACTAAGATGAATAAAATATGTCAATGGATCTGCACGACTGAGATTTAAGCCAGATTATCTAGTCTCCAAACGCCGATTTCACTTATCATGTGGGTAATATTTAGGTGGCTGTCACCTAATCCATGGTCAGGGGAACAATCTATGTAAGGTGATTCAGTAGTAAGAGAACTATAGTTATCTTCGTTTAAAGTCAATAAAGTTCGTAATTTGTGATCTACATGTTTGAGATTTTCAAGAAGCAAACGTGGGATTTCACAAGAGGGTTGTATTTAGGTTCGGCTGTTCCCATTATGAACTGAGAACTTTGCAAACATTTGTTTTAATCAGTAAACGTATATCTGAACATTCACGCATAAATCATCTTCAAAAAGGCAGTTTGGGGTTAATAATTTTACGGCTTTCAAAGTTTTTCGCGAAGAAATTAATTTTATGGCCTATACTATTATTTGTTGATACCTGTAATTCTCCGTTGTTATGCTGAATCGAATTAGTCGACCTCGGTTGGCATGTGAGCTCCTATGCAGATGCCCCGATATTCCCCGATTATTTGTTTTCATAATCGACTTGGTCTTGGTTAGGAGTGGAATCCAGGATGCATGTTTCGTCCAAGTTGGGACTCGTCAGCTGGATGTACCTGCACTCTAGTGAGTGATTTTGTTCCCATTTGGATTCAAATCTTGTATTCATCGCTTCAAATGCCATCACTCACTGGGAGGCAGGCACATCCAGCTTAGGAGTCCCAAACAGGGCGAAACGCGCGTCCTGGATCTTACAGTTAGTCTCAGTCAAGTCAAATGTAGCCTATATCGTTATAATCCTTCATAATGTAGGCTCCGACGACATTAAAGCATAATTATTTGCCACCTTAGCATAGTTATCATCAAGTAATCTACCTTAATTAGTGATAATTTATTCTTTCACCGACGTCCTCAACCATCCGATTATTCTGTGCGGCAAAGATCAGTACTCGCTGTGATACCTAATATCCCAATGACTTGTATTTACTCTTTAAAATAAACGAAATACAATGTACCGAAGAGTTGAAATGGGCATTCTTCAAGTTCAAAGACCAAAAGATAACGCCAGTCCAGAGTTCCGGAACAAATGGTCTGATCCAAATGAAGTGCAGACTTTATAGTTGGAGTTTATGAAACATACGAAATAGATGGTAACACGGATCAAATCAGTCACAGCGGTGAGAATACACCTATTTTTATCTTATTGTGAATAATGGGTGATTCATTTCTTTATTGTATTCTTTCATCCACATTTTTCAAGCATCTTACTGCTACCTCTATCATAATTTCCATTACTATTGTGTTCCTGTGCTGAATTCAGCCTAAATCCACATTATGTTAAGTATTTCGCACAGGATGGAAAGCCTATTTTGTGTTGTATCACACTTGCTTTTTGGTATTTGCTTGAACTTATGATTCCACTTCTCACTGATGTATACGGTCAAAAACAAGAGAATTAATTTACTCACTTCAATTTTCTCACATAGTTCTTCATTAGTTCGTTGTAAATCAGCTAGTTTTGCTTCTTTTTCAAGTAATAACTGATCATTAGACATGCTTAAAAATATCATGAATTCCTCATGATCATAATAAGCGCCATTGGGAAGAATATGTCGATTGGATCTACAATCAAAAAAGAAGGGTATCATTGGTGATACGGTTTATTGTTAACACTCTTCAAGAGTATCTATATATCAATTACAAGTCAGACAGTAGTTGTAATGGATTGTAAAACAAACATGTTGCATAGGCACTAGTAATCCAATCCACCTATCCAAACCGAAGTAGGTAAAGAATTCATTAATAAATGGACCATTTTCAAGGGCTACTAAAATATCATATGAATACAAGTGATGAATGCATCTTTGCTGCTTAAACCGATCTTGACGCATGTCACTTGAGTTCTCTAAACATCTTTTTCAGTTGTCCCACGGACATCAACGAAGAAGGTAGCATCATCCTAGACAATTAGAATCAGCAGACAAAATGTTCATAGACTGAAGTAAATACAATACTTATAGCTAACTTCTCCGAAATAGAGAAAGGGTTAGAGCTGAAAGCGGTAATACAACAGGTTTTCGATGAAGTCACCCAAACTTCAGTTAGATTGAGAACCACAATATTATTCATGTATTACACAAAGGTTAGGCAACTGTCTCTGGTGATAGCATGCTAACTAATATCTTGCTAGCCTAATTAGCTTCATTGAAATCTTTCTAGATGTGGACCTCAGCTTGCTTATTTTAGAATAATTACATAAAATACCTTAATGCATTAATGTGAAAATAATCAGATAGTAGATAAAAGAGATCATTTGATAACTATAATTCACCTTAAGAACATTGGGTCGGAAATCTGAAAATTAACTGATCGTATACATCATGACAACCTAGATTTCTTTAAAGATTTCGTTATAAAGATTTGAGATGGTGTTGGAGCTGTGGCTGACTGACCTAGGCAGTTGACTTTCAATGACTGGCTAATGAGAACGGATTTCGCCTCACCTACTGAGGTTCGGGCAACTAGTTAGTATCACCAGCTCTTTCACAGCAAACTTAGCTCACCGTCTACTGCATGCACTTGCGAATGGGTGCTGATTTTATTTTATTCTCAAATGGTCGAATTGCACCGAAACTTTCCCGTAGTTTAGCTAGCAAAATATTGGGTTTGCTATCTAAAAGTGAATAGGCTAGATCTGGTCACTACCTAAACTTCCTTTCAAATCCAAATACTATTTCAGTCTTACAAATCATATTTTTAAATACTTTGGAGAAACACTGTCTAATAAAGGAAATAAACAAGCATATAACTATTAAATGTAAACAAGACATCACATGATGAAAATACTTTCATCCCAATCAATAGGAAATTTTCCAACTATTAGTAGAACCAAAATCATAAGTAAAGCATGAATGCATCATAGTATAATACTTACAATAATAATAGAAATGATTAACTGTCCTGTTTTGGGGATACATCATCAACTACTCACACCTATTGCCCAATGTTCATAGCAGTAACTAAAAGATATTCACTCAGTAGTAAATTTCAAGATAAAACAAGATAATAGAGATTTTCGCTATGTAACAGAGAGTATTCAAATTGAGAACTCAGCTGGAGTAAATCAACATTATGGACAACAACACAGGTGCCTACTTGATGAGTGTGCTTGTAGATTCACGATAATTGATAATTTAGTGAGATGATAATCTAACAGTTATGTCAAAATCATAACAAGTCGAAAACAGGCTGAACAACATTTATCTATATTTCAATCCTAACTCTCGTCTTATACAGCTAGCTGTATTACGAAAATGAAGAAGTGGGTTCGGATGTGCACGACTCCATATTTCGACAGTGGTCATCTTTATAAGAAAAAATATATGACTAAGGAGATAAACTACAGAACAACATGAAGACTTGAACACCGTATACGCTTGCAAGCTTGTGCACAGTGATCAACAAATCAAGTGGTTCCGTTTCACTTATCAGGTAGCTAAAATCATGTTCTGTGTATTTAGAGTTCTCACTAAATAAACCGTTGAGTTGCGAGAATGACAGTGCACACTACGAAACCACTCAACAATTCGAAAGCACTCAAATGAAACGATCCGATAACAAAAAAGGTGAGGTATAAACACTATCCGTGAGATGGATTTTAAATACATTAGCTGCATGACCTCTGTATAACCTAAGCTTGTTTATTGTGATGACGAAACCTAAGCATACCTGTATACCACTCACTCAAACTGAAACAGTTTTGAGAGAAGAGAATGTACACAACAGTTTAGAGATTAGTAGTTTGTCGGTCCAAGTATCACTAAACATTCCGACCTTATTATTCATGCAAAGTAGCTGAATTACAACATTCAGGATCTAATGGTGTCAATATACAACAAAACCGAGACACTGAAGACATTAAACAAGTCCACTACTTGACAGAAGAAGTTTAACTATCTGAAAACCCTTATTGGTGGACTTATTTACTACAATTACGGATGACGATTTAGGTTGGAGAAAAGTGTCTATCATAGCAGGATTCAAGCTCAGAAACCACCTTCATTAAAATGTATGGTCAAATATTCAGTGTATGTACAACTTGCCCATGTGTTTTGATGATAAGAATTCAAATATTCTGCTGAAGAAGCTGTGGCTTACAAAGTGAAAGTCTTGTTTTGATTTTCTGCACACGATAGGGTAACGTTAAAATATATTCCTATAAAACATAACTGTAGCTAATCGGCTTCGATAATCGACTTTAAACGACTAACTTATTCAAATCTCGATCAAATTACGGAAGTTTACGCAACCAACCCCTCGCATAATAGATGTGAGTATAAAGCTAAGTCCGGTATCGCTTAGTACAATATTTATCAGTGAAAAGCCTTTCCTAACAAGAGTAATAACGACAAGTGAATATCAAGTGCTATGATGTTAGATAGTTTGTAGCGTTTATTGAACTGACTGGAAGAGTAGTTTCATGATTCGACCAAAAACATGAAGATGAAAAAGTGTAAAACTTTGTAGTGCTACGGATGAGTTAGAATTAGTTTGTGACTAAAAAGCCTCTCACTTATCTGTATAGTAGGCTGAGAGAGGATTATGATATTGCCCAGGTCGAAATGGCAATAGTAGACTTGAATTTATAAGCTGGTTGCTGGTATTCTAATGTATAAACCACCATCTTAACCAACGACATGTCTGATATGTTGGATTTCAAACACCAATGTGCTGGCCTCCTTAGTTGCAAATAGAAACTCTCCAATTCTGTTCAAGATCTCCACGGGTTCGTTGCGAGGATATTATCATTTTCATCTCATAAAATATTATAAATCTTAAAATTTTTCTCGGAAAATAATATTTTGTTTATAGGAAAACAGGGATTACATAAGGTACTTACTTTGCTCGACATACTGATTCACTACCTATTTGTGAGGATGCTTCAGAGCTGCTTGTCTGATAGGTATTCGTCGAAAGTGGCAAACTAGCTGGACTTGATTCATTTTCCCGTCCAACTGGGACTGATGGACATCGCAGTGGAGAAGTGGACGAACAATTTTGTACAGATTTTGGAGGAGAGTTCGGGGTAATAGAGCTTGGGATGGGATACGGTGTAGACATCAACTCTTTACCAAGCAAATGGGTTGTTTTAGAAGCACCAATCAAATTTACTAAATACGATTCGACTTCACACTCCAAAGGGTCTTCGGCTAACCCAGATCTACGGTAATTATTTTGTGATCCACCACCAGATGAACGTTTGCCCCAGCGACATGTAACGACGCCGGTTCGAACAGCTCGGGAAAAACATTGTTCAATTAGTTCATTGTGATATTTATTTCTAGTTCTTGCTTTAAAGGGAGCAGCTATAGAGTAATATAATGCACATATATCACCCATATGACGTCCAGGTACCTACAGCAAGTTAAATAAAATCAGAAATACAGATTATCAGTGCATTTTGATAGTTGTCATTAATAATAGTATTATTAAAACATAAGTAAACACCAGTTTTTAAGACAATTACGACCGGTTAAAATTGTCTAATCACTCCTTTCAAATTTTCTCATTGATCACCTTAGCAAACTATGTATTAGACTTTTTTGACTTCACCGCAAATCATGCCGTAAGATAAAGCATGTCTAAAAACAAATAACTTTGATGTTTGATTCAATAAACCACTTAAGTGTTTATTTGCGAAATGCTTCAATACGGTTCTAGAAATCGTATTTTGCTAATTAAGATTCAATAAATTACCTTTTCATTTACAACATGCAAAACAAATTTGTCGCGCACGTCTGTATTATTGTTGATGATACAGCGGCCGAGCAAACCAATTATACAAAATATTTGAGTGGGTGTATCAAGTTCAGTGGCTCAGTGTTAGACAAATTCGTAGTTGGTATTTACCGAATAAGGCACTACATATGCCTGCTTACTCAAAAAAGGTCAACAATACACTAATGAAGACTTTCTAGAACAAAAAAATTTACAGCACTCCCAGTGTGATGACGCTACAGTGTGGATATTTCAAAATTTGAACACCGTTTATACGTACCTGAGATAAATCGTGGAGTTATCGATGCTTCCTAATTACGGTGAGAGTGCTTCCACAGAAGTAAAAGTGCAGGATAGAATGTTTAGAACCTATAATTGAATTGAATGATACAAGGGAGGGTTTCGCCTAAGGGAATTTTAAAACCCTAATCCCATGGTCAGAATGAACAGAAGGCGCATTGATCTAGTGTGGTCTTCAGTGGTCCTGGGTTGCATTCTTTTGTCGCTTTCATATTTATCCATATGCTGATTTTGATTTCCACTGACTACTGATATGGTTTGAAATCCTGGTCTATCTGTACCATGTTTGTCTGCTTAACAGTTACTTTCACAAAGTTACCCTCTAGTGTGACATCCATCAGCATTATTTTGAAACTGCATGTACCCTTCAAGCTTGCCACCTCCAACATTTAAACTTCAATTCAGATCACGTAGATTGGATTAGAACTCGGAAAAGATTCGATATTTATATGTCTCGAAGATGTATGTGCGAGGTCGCAGACAACTGCTTGAAAAAGCTTCCTCATACACCAGCTCAAAAATGCGATCCAAGTGTGCTTATGAGGGGACCCCGGAACATTGACATCCGATATTCCAGGCGTTAGTGTCATACTGAGTACTAGAGACAAGGTAGCACTAATCAACTAGATCTCCATTAAGACGGACTTATGTGTTGTCGAATTCGAAGGTCTCAGTTAATGATAAGATTAATATCTCTCCGTAATCTGCCCCTATCGTTCCACAGTATGACTATATACAACTACTGAGCCACTTGTTGAACAGTGTCCATGAGCATGGCATGTGCATTGACTTGTCGAAGTGCATATTAATTTTACAAGATTCGCAGGAGTCCGAAATTGCGCTCACCCTTGATGGTAAACCGCTCACACCAATCAAATAGTCCATATGTCTGGGTAACCTTGCGTAAGTGCGACTGAGATTTCTCAAAGTATTTAAAAAGACAGAGCAGTATACACCAATTAAAAACGACGGCGACTATGCAGTAGCCTTTTTCTTCTGTTATGGATAAGTAAAACGCAAGCAATAGGTGCTTGTTTGAATGTAACTTTCAAACTACTTCCACAATAATTTGTCTACCTTTAAGCTTCCATTCGACTCACCGTTCTCCGATATCATTTTTATTTCTTATTAAAGTCGCTTTATAACAAACTACTCTATGTTGACTTACTACTTGATGATCATATTGTACTAATTTTGTGTTTTAAATTCATTCTTTCCATCACAAAAGTAACCTAGTGAATAGACCAAGTTAAAAAATTTAGATGTTCTCTAGCAGAATGAATCAGTCCACCAAAGACAGAATCAGTTTAGTTCACTAACGAGTTTTAAAATTGGAGAGGAATCCTGAGTAAGTAGAGCAGAAAATATGATAAGATGACAAATAAAGACTGACGATCAGAGATTGACAAAAAACCTAAATATTTTCACTCTATTAAGACATTCTGAGAAAGGAATGCCAAATTATAGCGATTTATATCTGTAGGATTCAAATGCATAACCAAATAGAAGGGAAATAATCCTCTGAAACTGAAAACGTACGCATAATTTGGTGGTAATCTAACTCACAGATGTTACGGCAATGCACCTTCCATACTACAAGAAGCTAGCAGATTCCCAAAAACAAGGCATAAACACAAAAATAGTTTTAACAACATCAAACAGTAGTGTCCATTTTTTTCCTAAAAAACTAGTATGCATATAATGCATGGTGCATTTTGACAATGATATTATTCACTGAGTAATGCAATCGCCTGAAACAGATTGATGCGATTGTGGAGAACATAAATAGACTGACAGACGTTCATAGTTTTATTTCCTAAAATATCAATGGAAACTCTGCGATAAAACGACCTTGAGCAAAGAATGTAACATCCTTGAAGTTATTACAACAAATTAAATACATCAGAACTAAGGTTGGCTCTAAGAAATAAAGGGGATTTGATTCACTAAAACCTACGAAGAACTTCGCTCAGGTAATTAGTTCACTAGTTACTAGCCAGTCCTAAGCCCGGATAAAAAGGGAAGGTTGGTCATAGGGCTAGCAACCCTACTCCGTAAAACCAATCTAATCGCTAAAGAAACATAAAATTATACTTATTCTTTGCTATAATCGGAGAGACAAAATAACGCCAGCTGGTGAGGGCCTAGGTCGATGATTTATGTCTAATGTCACACAAACTCGAAGATCTACAGGCGAAAACCAACAAGTTGACAAAAGAGGTGAGGCAGTGAAGACGGGACTTCAAGTGAATGTAGAGAAGACAGAGGTGATGAAGATACTCAACCACCACCACCACCACCACCGACAACAACAACAAGCACCAATCACCATGAACGGGAGAAACCTAAAGGAAGTAGTCTCTTACACCTATCTAGGCAGCATCATTTCAACTACAAGTGGCATAGATGAAAGCGCTAAAGCCAGGATCGCTAAAGGAAGGTAGGCTTTCATTATTCTGAAACCAGTGTGGAGATCTACTGAACTCCACTCAGCACAAACAACAAGATCCGGATTTTCAACACGAATTCAGTCAAGTCAGTGCTTCTATATGGTTCAGAAACTTGGCGAATTACGAAAAACATTTCCAACAGACTACAGACATTTATCAACAGCTGCCGTCTACCCTCACTCGATACTGAAGATCAGATGACCAGAAAGAATAAGTAACAAGGAACTCAGGCTGGCTGGCTGGCAACGAACCAACCAAGAACCCACCACCCAACAAATACGAAGAAGAAAGTGAAGATAGACTGGGCACACATTGAGAACACCAATTGGGGACATCACGCACCAGGCCATGCCTTCGAATGGAATCCAAAGGGGAAACGACGAGTTGGGCGTCTGAGGTGAGGGTGACATGGAGATCATGTGAGGAAGAAATGAGAGCTTCTGGGCAGTCGTCGAGCCAGGTCCAAAAGATTTCAGAGAACAGAGTGAAATGCAGACGTGCTACTGAAGCCCTATGTCACACTAGGAAGCCAAGGGACAAATAAACAATAAATAATAAAACCTACGAAGGTGCACTATTCAGCATAGAAAGGCATTCGGTTAGACATTTTGGGAAACTTATTTTGCCTACTTAAACGCATATAAGTAGACTGCGAAAGCGGCAAAAAACAAAATCATGCTAACTCCATTACCATTCACACCTTGAAAAGCAATTACTTTAGCTATTTTTTGGTGGTGAAGCAAACTCATTTCACATTTTGACTATCAGTATGTGACTTAATAAGTGATTCCTTACATAGAAAGTTCTAGATATATTCAATCCTTCCACATGATATAAGTGGTTTTGTCGTGATTACAAGCTTATAGCTGTTTCAAAGAAAGTTAACAGCAAAATTACTTGAATTATTCCGACAACTTAGCTTTAGTTATCAATACAGCTCCAAAATAATTAGATACCTGATGAGTGTTACTAAGTCAACTGATGACATAGAACCGCTGTTAATAATCACCTGACAAAGTGCATTTTCAGTTCTCCGAAACTGGTCACCGATTTTTTGTATATTGTATGAAATAAACTAGGCGTAGTATTACATTAAATTTCAACCCACAACGGACACTTTGCTGCAGTAAAAAACATTAAAACTGCCACAACTCAACACTAACAAACCTCCACTTCTTATCTTCCTAAGAAAATTCAAGTCCGATTGGTCTTTTCCACATTTTATTAATTCACACGAATAATTCTCAATATTCTTTTGTTGCCCCATATGATGTTCGAAATAATGATAACCCGGACCTACACAACCACAAATCGGTCCGCTAAATTAGTACTGATTATCATAACGGATAAATTGGGACTTTTTTGGGACTTCTGGAACTCCTTTCTATTTCGTTTCTTTCCCATTTTATCACCGATATTTCACGATGGATGATCTTACTTCTAGGCCATGTAGTTAACCATATAGATACAAAGATTACATACCTAGAATCAGCGTGACGATATGACTGGTTGAAAATATTTATCATTAAAACCATTCACAAGAAATAATGCCAGGTTGAATTCTTTCCCATCTCAATACAAAGAAATTTGATGACTAGTACAACTTCAAATGTTATAATCTATCTAGAAATACCTACGGAAAATGAAATGAAGCACGTTAGTTTCTGCTGGAAAACAAAATGAATCCACTGTTTTGAAGCCTTAGTTATTTCATGCTTACTTCGTTACCGAAAATACTGATCAATTGTTTACTGTAATTCAGAGAACTTCATGCAAAACTATCAGTTCCTGTAAAGACAATTTTTTTAATAATATACAAATCCCAATGAGATTTTGAGACAGAACAACACAAGTTTAAACAAGAAAACGAATAGCTATGAATAATAA